CCTCTTGGGCATGATGGGCACGTCGTCGTCCGAAGCCAGGTCGAGCACGAGCCGTCGCTTCTTGGCATTGATGGATGGCCGCCGGAGCTCCTTCTTGGCCGCCGTCGAGAAGAGCGTGATCCACGCCAGGTTGTCCTTGAGCGACGCCTCGAGCGCTGCGCGGGCCTCCTTCTCGCCGCGCTGGAGGTGGCTCTGCACGGTCCGGATGTGGTCCGTGTCGGCCATCCCGGCGATGTTTTCAAGTTTTTCACGTCCTTCGCTCGGATTGGCTATTTTTACAGCGCGCCAAATGCCACCATTCAAAGCGCATACAAAATCCAAGTTATTTTAATTCCATTGCAGCCAAGCCGGCTTTCTCACCGACCTCGCAAGGACATGCTGTCGCTGTCGTCGCAGCGCGCAGCGCCATCACCCGCCGGTCGAGTATTCATTGCATATATACTTATATACCCTAGCAGCAGCTGCCAGTGACGCATGCGTGAAGGAGTGCACTGCATTTAACCTATTTAACCTTTGATGTTGCCTATTTAACGTCATTACGCCAATCTCCAAGATACAGGTCTGAGCCAAGCGGCGCGAGGCGCTTTGATGGGCTAAAGAGGTGAATTCGTTCGCACAAAGGTAAAACACATATTGTCTACGGCTCGGTGGACTGGTATGGACGACGAAGCAGCAGTTGGTGGAGCGGCATCCGCTCAAAGCCGGCATCCTCGAGCCCGAGGCCACCGGCGTCCAGTCGCTGCAGCGGAGGCACGCTGCACGTCGCGTAGGCGAATCGGTGGCGAAGCTCCTGCGCGAGGAGTCTCGCATGTTGCTGGCTTGGCGACGGGTCGACGAGGCACGCGACTTGTACGGTCGCATCGTCCTTGGCGGCAAACACCAGGAGCGCGTCGCCGAGCTTCCAGCACTGTAATGGCGCGGAAGACGAACGCAGCGTTTTCGGAAGCACTTGGAGTGGCAAGTCCGACGCCACCGGAAGACTCTCGAGGTACGCAAATGCCGTTGACACGTCGACCGTCTCGGGCGTGCACACGGATTCCTTGCTTGGCTCGGCAGTGTAGCCAAAGAGCGGGCTCACAGCGGCGAGCCCTCGGCTTTCGTAGAGCCGGAGCGCCTTTTCGTTTTGTGCAAACACCTCGAGCTCTGTCCCCAAGCCGTCCTCTGTCGCGCGTGCGATAAAGTCATCGAGAAGGCGTGCGCCATGACCGGCCCGCCGCGCGGCGACGACGACGCCAAGCGACGCGAGGCGGCGGAATCTGGATCCGTCGGGCCGCTGGGACGCCAGCGCAAAGGCAAGAATGCGGCCGTCGGCGTCAACCAGAGCCGTGCTGAGTGCGAGGTCAACGCCGTGGCGCGCGAGCAGCGTCGGCCACTGCTCCAACGCCACGTCGAAGCGCACGAGGTAGTCCGAGTAGGCCGAGAGGAACGCAGCGTGGAGATCAACGGACGCAATGCTCTCGCATGGCACACAGCGCGTCATGTTGGCTACTGGACACTCAGGTCAGCTGCGGAAGGAACATCGCATTGATCGGCGCTGTTCCGCCTTTCTACGCTAACCGGACACTCCGGATAATGCGTGTCAAAGCTCAGGATCGCAAGGCCAGTATGCCAGAAGTCTCATCAGCTCCTTTTGTTGGCTCTATGAGGTTACTAGTATACACAAAGGCGATATGTGATGTGCTTACATGACATGCTTAGTATCCCAGGTTAATACGAGCACTTCGCTACGTATACCACTCACGCTTCGTCTTCGTCGATGCTGTGGACGGTCATCTTGTCCATGTACCCGCCTTCGTG